TGATCTTCCTCTTAATTTAATTTCACCCGAGGCATTGGTTTCCCAAGTGAGTGTCAATTCGGGGGAGAGTGTGAGGTTGCAAATTGACTGGCTTCAATGTTCGTCTGATTCCTCTTCGGAGGCTAATGGAGATGAAGAACCTGTGGATGAATTTGCTGTGCAGCCTGACCGACCTAATGTGCTGGTTTTCTCTCATGGGAGGGGTAGACGTGGTAGGGGTCGGAGATGATTTTCGTTGGTCTCTCTCCTTTGGGTTGCTGCTTTAGTTGGTAGTCGTTATGAGTTATTTTTTAATTATGGTGGTTGCTGTTTTGCTGAAGCTTGGTTTAAATTTCGATGATGCGATTGTTGGTTTATGGGCAATAATGTGGCTAGGGCTCACTTATCTAAAGCCATGCCTCGTGGCAACCTTTGGTGGTGCGTTTCTTGCTCGTTTGGTCCTTGGCGTGTTTCTGTTCTCACTCCGATCCAAACTGGATGGCCCGCGCCTGGCTTCGGAGTAGTTGGAAGAAGCCTCTGCCAAATACTGAGCCTAATGGGTTGTAAACCCCCCTTGTTTTGATTTTTCTGTAGTTTTCTTTTCTCGTCCCTTCTTTAAATATATTGTAACACCACTTTTTTGTTGCAATATATTTTGGTTTAAAATAAAATAAAATACAAGTACATAAACATCAAATAAGATAAACTTTATAGAGTTAAAGAAAATTTTGGACATGATGATGAATATTATAGTTTTATTTGGGATAGCTTTCTTACTACTTTATAAAACAACTTTTTAATACAATTTTTTTAAAAATTGAACTAAAAGTTGCTTTATAAAGTTTTTATTTATAAATTTATTATTTATAAGAATTCTTTGTACTAAAAAATTAGTTTAGAAATATTAAAAAGTTGTCCCAAATGAAATCGATAAATAATTATTAAAACAATAATTACAAAATATTTGAGGGAAGCCATTTGTGAGGGGGGCTGCATCCTCCTAAGTCATAATTAATAAATTATATTTTACCTTATTCTCTCCTAACTCTTGCCATCATAATCCTGCATTAATAGAGCTAATATTTTAAGATCAAGCAGGTTTACGTGGAAAATAAAATAATAAAAAATAGAATTTATCATAAACCACGTGGTTCCAAAGTAGATCAAAAGCATGACTAATCTAGGAGGTTCTAGATAATGATGATTATGTGAAAAATTAAAAAAATGATCAGCATATCCAAATAAACAGTCAGATAATATGAAATTATTTTCATTACTGTTATATTAAAATTTAATATAAAGATTAAAATTTAAAGATATATTAATATTATTAATGTTGGTTTTTTATGATTGTTAGGAGAGTAGGTGTATTAGATCCAGCTTATATAAGAAAAAGTAAGGCAAACTTAAAAAAAAAACTTCAAAAGTATTAAAAATAATTTTTTTATTAGATAAAGGAAAGGTTGTAATTTGTAAAGCTGTTATGAAGAAAACAACTTTTTTGAAAGCAGCTTCCTAGCACAAAACATTAACTCTTAATAGAACATACTAGTGAAAATGGATATAGGTAATTAGGGGTGTCAATAATTGACACGACATGAAAACCCGACTCGGAAAATCCGGGTTGGACCCGACCCGATTTTAAAACGGGCCGGCTTCGGGTTGACCCTACGGGTTGCCGGGTCAACCCGCGAACCCGTTTAATTTAAATTTTCGAATCCCCCCCTGCCCGAATACCGCTTGATCGGCTGCCCCGCTGCCCTGACCCGCTGACCGAATACCGCGTGATTGATGCCCCACGTGACCTGGTGACCCGCTAACCCCCGAGTGACCGCTGCCCGCTGACCGAATACCGCGTGACCGGCTGCCCCGTGTCGCATCCCGCCGCTTAATTCGTGACCACTGACTGCCCCCGCGTCCCGTGACCGTGAGTCCGTGACAGCTGCCGCTGGACGCCTGACGCTGCTGCCGCGTTGAAGGCTCGCTGCCGCCGGACGTCACTGTCGCCGATGCCATGAAGCTACTCCCGGCCTTGCCGTGTCCGCAGGTCAGGTCGGGTCCGGTAAATCGATCCGTTTGTAAAAACGGGTCGGGTTCGGGTTGACCCGAATAGTGCCAGGTCATTTTTGAGTTCGACCCGAACCCGACTCGTGACCCGAAATTGACACACCTATAGGTAATCAATCCTATATAGTGGGATAAAGGCTTGTTGTAGTAATAGTACTTGTTCATTTATATATTAATATACATATAAATATATAATATATGAATCTATTTTATCTCACTACTAAAAATGTAGGATTTTCGTAGCATTCATTAGCAACAAATTAATTACAGTTTTGCCATAGACTGGATACTGCAACGGTCTTAAACCGCTTATTTGCGTCACTAAATCGGAATCAACCTAACTCATTCTATACGAGAAAATCGGAATAAGCCCTAGCTCATTCAATGCGTCTCCGCGCTCCCGCTCCCGACGACCTATCTCCTCCCCAACCACCTCCTTCGCAATCGTCGACATTTAGGTCAATTAAGACAAACTAACACATCGCATACGCAAGAAACGCAAGAATCAAACCCAATATCTCAATTGGTTGGCAGCCAAAGCTCCCAAACAACAGATAAAGATGAGCTACATAAAAAAAAATCAAATTTTGATTAATTATTATTTTTATTTAATTAATTTATTTTCTTATTCTCACACTTTCCCAACTGTCTGATAATATTCTCATACAATTTTTTATAATATGAATATTCAGGAACATACCAGCTGGATCTGTGTTTACATAAAGATAACAACAGTAGGTCACCTTCATTCCTTTACCTATATATTTTTTTCATAAACTAAAGCTTATCTGTTAATAACCAGGACAGTGGTAAGTCCCCTACCCTTCCTTTAGCTACCTCTGCAGTCAAATATAATGCCAGATAATTACCTAATTTTCATTCTAAAAGAAAAAATAAAATCATATAAAATTTTTTGGTATGCAATACATTTCATAGTATTTAATTTATATGATATTTCTTGAATTATAAAATACATCTATTTGAATTTTAAATGAAACTTGTTTAATATACTTTTTTAAATTAAAATATTATGATGAATTAATTTTGAGTAAATTTTTGTTCAAGATGTTTAAAAAAGGGCAGAATTAACCTCTTTTTTCAGGGTGGACAAAATATAATTGAGGAGTGTATAATCCCGTGGCTGAAATACAAAATGGTTTTTTTTTCTTAGAATTTTGAGCATATGCCAAATGCATTTATTGAGAGCGGGAAAATCATCCTAAGCTCTTCTTAGGTTTATTAAACATTTGTTTTTTTAGAGATTAAGGATCTGTTTGGAACAACTTTTTGGATGCTTTGCTTTTCAAATATCAACAATAATTTAGGTTTTATTTGAGACGGCTTCCTTGTTGCTTCTTAAAGCAACTTTCTAGTATAAATATTTTTAATTTTTATACTAAAAAGCTGCTTTAAGAAACAGTAAGAAAGTCATCCCAAACAAAGTCTTAGTCTTCAGTTGGGACAACTTTCTTACTGCTTTTAAAGCAGTTTTTTATTACCAGCATATAAATTAAAAGCAGTAAGAAAGCCGTCCCAAACGAAGCTTTAATTTGGCCACTACTTTTTCTCTACTTTATCGTTGTTATTTAGAAATTTTTATGATGAAAAGTTGTTTTCTAGGGCTACAATAAAGTTATTTTCTACACAACAACTTTACAACCACTGTCCCAAATATATCCTAATTTCTTCTTTTATTTGATGCAATTGTTTATTCTATGAGTAAAATTATAATTTTTGACTATAAATTTTATATCTATCAAAATTATTTTTCAAAAATAAAGAATATGATATATAAATTATACCGAATTAAGATTCAATATCTTTAGTTTTTTATATTATTATATTTTTGGTGCACGAAATCTGATTATATATTTAATAAATATTTTATTAGGAGATAATACGATTTAAAGATTAAAGACTTAAAGTAGTAAGTGAAGTGCAAGGACTTGGCAAATAGTCTCTGTAAATTATAATAAAGTTAGGTTTTGTTAGGTTGAAGCCTTATCATCAATTTACATCTGTTTAAAACTTGGATTTCTATAATATTTAATAATTAACATAAACAAAATATTAATTTGAATAATAAGCTCTCTTTAACCCTTTAATAAAAAAAAATAAAGTGAAGAAGAAAAAGAATATTGAATACATATAATTTTTTTTTAATTTCACTAACGAAGATTTATGTTCTTCAATGGCATTACTTAAAATATGATGTTTTCGCAGCATTTCATAGCGGCAGTTTATATATCATTGTGATAGAGAAGTATAGACAACAGTTTTACCTGCTACTAAAATCTCCTAAATACTCATAACTTTAGCAGCGGTTTTAATGCCTGTCAAAAACGATGCTAAAGCCTTCCTACTTCAACACTTATAAAACCTTTGCTAAAGTCTTTTTAACGAACGCAAATACAGCACAACAGTTTCTAAACCATTGCAAATAATCTAGCAGGTGTTTAAACCACTACAGTAGATCTTAAAAAATACTGCGAAAGTTTGATTTATTAGTAGCATGGGCATAAAAATCCCTATATAAATTCAATGAGCTCATTCACAGCGCATGTCATTTATGCAAGAGAAAATTAATGCCTTCACGTGAATTATGCATCAGATAATGCAGAATAATTAGGAATTAATACCGAATATAAAAATTTACTTAAATTATCTGAGTGGGATTTTTTTTTTTTCCTTAAATTTTCTCCTGACATTAAGAACAGAAGAATTAACTCTCTCAGAGCCTGAAAATACATAGACTTAAATGCTGAAAATCCAAAGAAAAAGTGACAGAGGGCAGAGGTAGGTATGTAGATTGACCCAACCCTAAATAAATACATATCAATGCCATTTTTCTACTGCTGGAGCTTTTTCATTAATGATCCCACAACTAAGTTCAGCTAAAACCATTTCAAATTATATATATATAAGGAAACCCTGACCTAGAATATTGTGTTGAAGGAATAGAAGAAAGGAACAAGACACTCCAAAAGGAGCAACGAACTAGGACACCATGAAGCTGCTCTTCTTTCTTGCTCTTCTTCAGCTTTCATGCTCTGGTTCTAACCAAGCTTGGGCTGCGAATGAATCGAACAAGACAGCTCCGACAGTCCCAGCAGTCATCGTCTTCGGCGACTCCATCGTCGACACCGGCAACAACAATGGCATGAGCACCGTCATCAAGAGCAACTTCCCACCATATGGGATAGATTTCCCCGGCCACTTCGCCACCGGCCGCTTCTGTAATGGCAAGATCCCCTCCGACTATATAGGTAATATTTAAAATTTTCAATCTGAAAGCTTGTAGCTTTACTGTTGTTCAAAATTAAATCTTTAACGGATAAATGTATCAGCTTCAATGTTGGGCGTCAAAGAATACTTGCCACCGTATCTTAGCGGGCTGATGCCGGCCGATCTTCTCACCGGAGTCACCTTCGCCTCCGGCGGCTCCGGCTTCGACCCTCTCACATCAAAACTAGTGGTATGATCGCTATCTCTCTTCATCAACATGATTTCAATAGTCAATCGATTAATTGTTATTTTATTATATTTTGGAACAGTCGGTGATATCAATGCCGGAGCAGCTGGATATGTTCAGGGAGTACAAGCAGAGGGTGAGGGCGATCGTCGGAGAAGAGAGGGCGGCGAAGATTCTCGCCGGAAGCATATATGTGGTGTGCGCAGGGAGTGATGATGTCGCCAACACTTACTATACTACACCTTTCAGGAGAAGGGAATACGATATGGCTTCCTATGCTAATTTTCTCCTTCATTCGGCTCTCAGCTTTGTTGAGGTAAATTTTTGTTTAGCTGTATATATTAATTGTTTCCATAATCAATAGCTTCTTTAAGATTTCTAAATTAATTTCTAATTGATTTATGCGTAAGTTAAAAAAAAATGTTATTATTTCGAAAAAAATTCATTTTTTTTTAAGTCTTACACAGTGGTTCTTCAGTCCAAATTATGGTCTGTGGGAAAATTTCATCGGTAATCAGAACTTTACCAGTAGAATAGTTAGCCAATCAGTATTATTTGATCGACAGATAAATCTGGATTTTCTATGGATTTAATAAATGAGTGGTTGCTTGGTTGACCAAGTAAAATACTACGATTTATTTTATTTTATTAGTAAAGTTTATCAGAGCATGTTAGTACAAAATGTACTACACACTTTATGGATAATTTATTATCATTCTTAGCAAAACCATAGAAGTGAGGACCCACAAAGATATTGTTTGATTTTCTAAATTTAGAAATTGTTTTGGGAGATTTAGGCCAATTAAGGTAGACTCACACACACATCTAGTATACAAGCTTCAATTCAGGATCTCTTAGTTTATAGCCTAAGCTTCCAATCAACAGACCAATTTGAGTCTTGTCTAAATTTAGAATTTAATGCAGCTCTTTTCGATCTAATCATTAGAAGCTTTGAAAATCAACTAAGAGGTTTTGAATTCGAGTCTTACGTATATGTATTTATGAATTTGACTCAATTGACATAAATGTCCTAAGAAAAAGAAATTAGTCTTATTTGAAATGTATAGTCAATTAAATGCAAAGTTTTTTAAACATTTAGAGTTTTGTTTTTTTGTGAAATAAATGCATTAGAATTATATGTTTGGTTGGATGTAAAGTATGATGTGTCTTATTCAATATTGCAATATAGTAAAAACATCATTCACTTTGTACTTTTTAACAGAGAAAACTTCAATTTTTATAGAATTTGAATATTTGATCACTTAAACTTCATCAAAACAAAATTAAAAAGTTACAATTATGGTGCATGATAATAGACATAAAAAATTCTAAAATTAAAAAATTTACTTGTACTTGAAGTAGATGAGAGGAAGGGAGATGGGAGGGTGGATGATGTTTGGAGTTGAGGTTTTGATGATGATCTAAGACATGAAAAAAGATAGAGTAGGGTATCCAATAGAGTTGAAAGAGGGCTAGGGTTTCAAAATCATTATATAGAGAACTCCTAGGATAGTCGGAAATGCGAACCCGGACCCGACCCGGCAGGTTGCCGGGTTGACCTGACCCGACCAGGGACGCGCGAGTGCGGGCGGCGCGGTCGCGTGGGATCGCGCGGTGCGGCGGAGTC